TATCTCCCCAATAAATTACTATTAGATATTGTGTCATATAAAGTTTACGGGCTTTTTAAGGAGACGAATGATGGTGCCCGCAACAGGCTCATATTTACGCGCGGTGGGATGGGAGAGTTGGAGGCTATTTGCGACCTTTTCTACTCTTTTTTATTATTATTATTATCATTTCCCCCCCCCTCCTCTCGGACTAGGTGGCTTTGTCGCGGGCTGGGGAAATGCAGCCCCTTCCCAGGCTCTTGCCACTCTCTCAAGAAGGGATGGAAGATTTTTTTTAACAATCCTCAATCGCTTTTTATTAATGATCTGTGTCGAATAAAGCAGCCAGAAGAACACGACTATATATAGCCTTAATTTAGCCGGTATATATTCCACATGCACCAAGGCGCACACACGTATAGAATAAGTGTTCAAATCTCTTTTTTTTTGTTGTTGTTTTGCTTCGTTTCTGGGAAAGAATAAAAATTACAGTCCTCCCCCCCATTTCTTTGGTCCCCACCCCTGGAAAGAGAGGTACAGACACACACACACACACACGGAGCTGGTTCCTCGCCACCTTATAGCAATATATTCTGCCCTCGTAACACTACAGAGCTCTTCTTCCCTCCCACCCATCGTCTTCTCCTGGTCATACTGAAAAGAGCTGCTGCAAAGGAATACAAGGGATGAAAAAAAAAAGAAAAAAAAAATCAATATTGGCTTCTTTCAGTGCAAAATAAATACGTTGGGGGAAGAAAAAAAAAAAAATTCTGGAAAAGGTGCATTGTATGGAAACCGGGAACACGCAAAGACGTTTGAGGGTGTTTTATGTCAGATTTTTTTGGGGGGTGGTTTTTTCCTCTCTTTTTTTTTTTTTTTCCTTCGCCCTTTTCCCCCCCCCCCCCCTTTTTTTTTTTTTTAATTTTTTAAGAAACCAAAATGCCCACCCCGTTTGCTGGATTTTTGCATGGCTTTGCATTCCTCCCTGCCTTAAGCAACTCCCAAGCGCTCCCCTTGCCAGGTTGACTCTGCAAAGTACCGTAAATATTCCTGTAGAGGTAAAACCGCTGCGCGGGGGCGGAGGCGCTCCGCGGAGGCTGAGCCGGGCGGGTGCAGCCCGCACCTCCCCAACTGCTGCCTTTCCAGCCAGCAACCAACCCCCCTCACCGATATTTTATATATTCCTCAAGCATAAAATCATTTTTTCCTCATCTGGCAAAACGCTGGGGCTTCAGCTAACCCCCCTCCCAGCCCTGCAAGAAAAATCAGGTGCCAATAAAATAACTCATTTAGGTGCTTTTTTGGCTTCCATGGACAGCTCCTGAAGGTGGAAAACCTATTTTCCATATTTCCCATCCCTCTTTCTCCCTGGCACATCTATGGATATGCTACATACATACCTTGCAGAGATACGTGCATACTTTCCTACACGCTTTGCCTGCGAAGGAAGAAATACGACTACTAGAAATATTTTGCTAGAATGAAAGTTTAGCACTTTTTTTTTTTTTTTTTTTTAAACCTTGCCAAGGAATTTTTCTCCCTGCAGGTATAAGTGAAAAAGCTGCTTGCAATTTCTCCAAGAGTGTCTTCTCGCTGCAGAAGAAGCGCTCGCAACGCTGAGCAAGCGTGGAGAGGAATAGTTTATATAAAAATGAGCACGTGATCCCCGGAGGTTGCCATCTGAATTGGCTTTGTTTGCTGTTTTTTTTTAAAGAAAACCCTTCCTCTACCTTGCTCTTTTCTTTGCAAAATTCCCCATATAAGACGTGCCCGGGTGCTGCACGGCTTTGTTCTCCACCGGACCTTGGGAAAGTATATTTTTGCTTCAGAGGAGTCTCGGGGTATTTGGGGCTTTTCCTCTTTATTCAAATTGATTTTTGCTGGGTGCGGAAAAAAAAAAAATTAATAAAATTTCACGTTTACCTCCAAGGAAACATTTGGGGAGGCAGCTGCAGGGCTGAGCAAGAGAACCACAAACTGCGCTGTGGAGGGATAATGTCAGCATGGGCATCACAGCAAGGGAGAGGGAGAAAAGCACCCCCGGTTCCCTTATTTATTCTTTTTTTTTTTTTTTTTTTTTAGAGCTGGGAAATGCTACAGCCGTGCTCAGAAATATATTAAGCGATGCACAGCGTGGAGCGTAACTCCCTGCTCTTGGTGGCCTTGAATGGGGCTCCCCAGCTCAGCGCTGCTCCTGCTGCAAGCGGACAGCAGGTCCAAGGAAAGGGAAAAAAAAAAAAAAAAAAAACCCCCAAAGAAGTTGCCCAGCCCAGCAAAAAGATCTCTGAGCTTTTCCCCATTTGCAGGAATCCCGGTTTTCAGGTAGAGAGACCTTTTCGACGCCGATATTTAATAATCCTCAGGGAGGGTTTCATTATTTTTTTCCCACCTCCACAAGTCACACAGGCAGCTTTCGGGAAATGCTGGTGGCAAGAAGCCGGGAGAAGCTCCCCGCCCACGGGAACCGGGAAAAAAACAGCCCCCGAAAAAAGAGAGGGAGAGAAAAAGACGCTGGAAAAGCAAGATTGCAACGTCTCAGTTCAAGGTCACTGTCTAGTGTAGTAAATAGGATCCACATCTTATGCTAATGACCGTCTCGGATGAGCATCACTCACTGCACGGGGAAAACAACAGCCCCAAGTTTTGGGTTGACTTTTCTGTGCTTTTTTCCTCTGTTGGGGGGATTTATCCCTGCGCTCCTCCCTTCCTCCTCTTCCCGTTTTGCACCATCGCAACTCCTCTCTACCAAGCGTGAGAAATAAAATTTCCCCTTCCCCTCCTCCCGCATTTCATCTTCCCCCCGCGAGGTTGAGCTCGGCTGGCGGCTCCCACTTGAACAGGCTCTTTCTCCCACACCCCTCCAGCCTCGTCTCTTCAAGAAATCAAAAGTAAAAATTAAAAAAAGAATTCAGTTTAAATGGTCCCAACCTAATGGCCACAGCAAAATATTTACGTTTCAGAAGGGAAGGACTTAGCCCCACTTTCAGTTTTCTCCCAGAAAAGATCATGAAATTTAACCCTCATAGGGCAAAAAATAGTCTGCGACATATATATTGCATCTTTCTGCCTGGAAAAGGGGGGAAAGCAAATTAAAAGGTCTCCTTGTGCGTGCGCAAGTTGGAAAAACAGATCCCGTCATGGCTCAGCTTTTCTGCTCAACCGAATTTCACCCCAAATTGGTTGGGAGTTGTAAGGAGTGACGGTGACTCGAACAAGAAGTTAGCTGCCAGGGTCAAAAAGGAAGTATTTAGAATAAATATATAGATACATGACACGGGGAATAAAATATAGACAGGCTTTGGAAAGCCCACAGAACTGTTATTTCGGGGTAGCTATATATCATTGAAACCTACGCCGGCTACTTTTTCTGATGTGGAAAATGCGTGTCTATAGACACCTTATAGATATATAAGTGTACAAGACACCTTATATATATCTATATCAGAGGGTAGTAAAATGGAATGCGTAGGAGCTGGGCAAAAAAAAAAGAAAAAAATTAGCCTGGAAAAGTGGTAAATGGATGGGAATAAAAATGTCTACGACACTTCAGCTCATCCAATATACAAATCATCTGGGGCAGCTTTCAGTTTTAACGAAGGCAGGTCCCAGTCTCGGTGCAGGGAATAGTTAAATGCCTGGAATATCATTATATTTTTCCCCAGCTTTGCCAGCAGAGGATCTTCTCCTCCTATTAGATTAATGTAAACTGATGCCTGCATCCTTTGTAAGGCAAAGGTTTAGTCCCAACTTTAGGGAAGTTTGCTTTGTCCGCCAGCTCTGTTTTGGGTGAGAAGTGGCGTTTCATACTGTAATTCCCTCGGAGGGCTGAAAACCCCCAACAACTGTAACAACAAACCAGTTAATGGTCTAGAATTCACGACTCTCGAGCAAATCGCAATTGGAGAGCCTGAAAAGCGTGATCTCACTTATTTAATGTTCCTTGTAAAGGAAGAGAAAGTGGTGGGGAGGAAAGGGAGTTTATTAAACCCACGGCTGGTCCAACTGTGGGCTGAACCAGCTGAGCTCCCTGCCAGGCAGCAGCTTCCCCCCGAAGCGGAGGCGACAGGAGACACGACATTTTGCTGGATAGAATTCTTAAATACCCATAAACACGAGGGTTTCCCAAAATGTGCTGAACCACGTAGGCAAGGCAGTTTATAAGCAAGGAACCAGCAGTGCTGTAGGAGTTTGTGGGATGTGTGTACACACACGCACCGTGTTGGCTGTCAGTGTCTTAAGAAATAATTTCTTGGCAAAGCCTTTAGAAGTCTCTTCTCTTTTGCTGCTAATAAAAAAGAAAAAAAAAAAAGTCTTTTTTTTTTAAGACCAAGCGCTTCCATAACAAATAGAAAGTTAACCAGCAAGAGTTATACTCACCTCTGCACTGAGCACAGGGCTGCGAGAGCAGAATTCCCCCTCCAGATTAAGAAGTTATTCTTTAAAAATGCATTAGGAAAAAAAAAATATACGCAAATGTGAGCGAGCTAAAAAAAAAAAAAAAGAAAAA